TTCATGCCTTCTTGTAAGCCGTCAATGGTGTAGAATTATTATTCCAATATTATGGAGTGAACCTACAAATCATTTTACGGACCCAAGACTTATAAGTGTATATATTTTAGCGTTAAATGCTGAAGAACGAACTCCAATTATTCCCTTTAAAATTAATCTTCTAAATTACCCAAGGTCATTATTTGAATACGAAAGCTATACTACATCTGTTGGTTGTCATTTGTGTGATGGAGTCATGAAGTGGCTTAATAGTGAAGGATATGAGTACAATTATGAACTTACAAATACTCTCGAATATTCTTTAATTGAAATGTTTCTACGAGCAAGCAAAAGTCTTAAATATTTCTCACTTAGTGGTACTATTAATGTTACAGTAGTAAAATCGCTTTGCAAGAATACTACGTTGACCTCTTTAAAATTTGGAGATTGTAATATTAAATCAGAAGGAATAAAAATATTAGCAGATGCACTTTACAAGAATACTACACTTACTTCTTTATATCTCTATAATGACCTTGAACCAGAAGGTGGAAAAGCATTAGCAGATGCACTTTGTAAAAACACCACGTTGACTTGTTTTGATCTTTACACTAACAATCTTGGATCAATAGGTGGAAAAGCAATAGCAGATGTACTTTGCAAGAACACCACGTTGACATATTTAAATCTTGCCTATTACAGTCATGGATCAGAAGGAGGAATAGCAATAGCAGACGCTCTTTGCAAGAACACCACGTTGACTAATTTGAAACTTGCTAATATTGATCTTGGATCAGATGGCGGAAAAGCATTAGCAAATGCACTTTGTAAGAACATCACACTGACTTATTTGGATCTTTCCAATAATGATCTTGGACCAGAAGGAGTAAAAGCATTTGCAGATGCACTTTGTAAGAACACGACGCTGATTTCCTTGGGTCTTCGCAGTAATGATCCTGGATCAGAAGGAGGAAAAGCATTAGCAGATGCACTTTGCAAGAACACGACGCTGATTTCCTTGAATCTTTACGATAGTGATCTTGGATCAGAAGGAGGAAAAGCAATAGCAGACGCACTTTGCAAAAACATCACGTTGACTGATTTGGCACTTCGTCATAATCGTCTTGGATCAGAAGGAGGAAAAGCAATAGCAGACGCACTTTGCAAGAACGCTACGCTGACTTATTTGAATCTCGTCGATAATAAACTTAGATCAGATGTCGGTAAAGCATTAGCAAATGCGCTTCGCATGAACACCTCGCTGACTTGCTTGGATCTTAGTGATAATTATCTTGAATCAGAAGGAGGAGAAGCGCTAACAGATGCACTTTGCAAGAACACTACTCTAAAAAAATTGGATATTCGTTGTCGTTATAATCTTGATTTCAAAATCTAATAATCCAAATATTGAAATATTGCAATAAAATTATACAGTAGGCCAGGCCAAGTTAATTTTTTGGTTCTCATAACCGGCCGGGTCAAATTTTACAAACCTTTAGAAAAAAGTTTTTAAGTATATTTACTATCCGGGTGGGTTTTTCTAAAAAATTTATATTTTTTTATATATAAAATTTTTTGAAAATAAAAATTAAAAGCCGGGCTGCCGGGTCACTTTCAAAAATTTTATGTTATGAGAACCAAAAAATTAACTTGGCCTGGCCTTATTTATTTTATTTTTTTTCGTTTAGGGTTCCATTCCATTAAGTGTTTATCCGGATAATTATTAGATGTCCGTTATCTGTTATCCGAAGTATCCTATCTGAATTTATCCGGATATCCGCTTACTTTTGATATCCGAATAATTATCCAAGTTTGTCAGATTATCCGGATAATTCAGATACGGATAAAGGGATGACGGATTTATCCGGATTGGAACTCTATTTTTATTCATCTTGTACAGTAAAGCTAATTTTGAGGAATAACCAAAAATCCATTAAATTAGATCTGCTTAAAAGAAAATACCAATTAAAGGTTTGAAAATAATAGGAAGCACATAGGATTGCTAACATTTTAGGCTTACCTAGTTTCAGGTAACATAGGATATTGAAGCCTTGCTATGTGTTTAATAGCTTCTCCGCTAACAAGGCAACGCAATACGTAACTGAAACAAATAATTATTTAATATACAACCACTTAAATCCAGTAATATAACAGGACATGTAAATCATGATCATGATTCATACAGTGAAAAATAGTGAGAGCTCAGCATTTTCCATAGTAGGAGGTATTGAAAAAATATTGCCGATAGTGGTATCGGTAAATTCTTAAAAAAAAAGATCATCAATAACTGTTTTAAAGACTCAAATAGACAAGTAAAAATTACCTGCATAAATAGATAGCTTGACTTTGGCGGTGTTGAAGGATTTATTCTCTGTATAGATGATGACGATATATTTTTTTCATTGACTTCAGCAGTCATTCGGCTTTTTCTTAATCTGATAATCTGATCAGATTCATCAACTGTAGAATCACTAGATTGAGAACTTGGACCATCAACATTAATAGTAGGTACATTCTTTATAGGAATGTCCTGTTTGATAGATTGATTCGCCCAAGGCCAAATAGATTTAATTCCTCGAACAACTCTAGCGATTCCACCAGACGCAAAATAATCTGGATCGCATAATTCAAACCTTAGTCCACCTAAATATATATAGGATGATATAGGATGATTAATTTCAAAACTAATTAAATTCATCAAATACCGGTAGTTTAAATTGCATTACCTGGTAGTCGTTCTGGATCTTTAAATCTCAGCATAATCGCAAAGAGTGGAAAATGATTCAGAAACGCTAGTAGCGTTTCCATAAAAGCTTTTATGAAGATAACTGCTACACGACTCTGAAGTTAGTTGAATAGTCAATATCAATATGAATAAGTATTATTCACATAGTAATATAAAATTAGTACATACAGTTGCAAAAGTGGCGTAATACACTGCAACAGTAGGGAATAAAAATGTTAATAAGGTAAATAAAATTGTTCCCAGAAGTAATTGATCCAAATCATAATCGCAGGAATCGATTCTCTTTCGCAAGGTGTTCCATTTTTTTCCTAAATCGAATAAGAATCCGTTAACATAAAAAATAAACAATTTATTACATAAAATATATATTAAATTCTTGCCTTGAAATAAATTAAATAAGGAATAAAGTATAGTAAGCTGCCAATTAAAAATCTTTGCCGCAACCATATAAAAG